AATACAAATACAATGTAATACAAAAAATACTATAAAGACATCAGTATGTGACCCACAATCTCAGTGTTCAGATAATATCTATATTTTTTAAAATTGGGTAAATATGCATGTAGTTAAAATTTTTTCAAAGTACAAACCTAGGCATGGTGGTACATCCCTGTTAATCCCAATTGCTGAGGAGATAGAGGCAGGAGGATCACAAATTCAAGGCTAGCCTAGGCAACTTAGCGAAACCTTATCACAAAACAAACTTTTAAAAAGACTGGAGAGGACTAGGTCTATCTGGCAAGTACAAGGTCATGAGTTCAATTTCTGGTAATTCCAAAAATTAAAAAAAAAGAACTGAGGAATGTAGCTTAGTGGTAATCTTTGTCTAGTGTGTATAAGAATTGGATTCAATTCCTGGCACTCCTGGGAGAAATTTTTTAAAAAGGGAGGGAGGGGGCTGGGGATTTAGCTCAGCGGCTTAAGCGCCTGTCTGGCAAGCATGAGGTTGTGAGTTCAATCCCTGGTACCAAAAAAAAAAAAAGGAAGAGAATAAAAAAGGAATGTAAATAATAGTGATTTAATGTATATTTCTTTCTTATATACACAGAAGGATCTTTTGCAAGGCAGGAGCTTATGCCGCTGAGCTAAATCCCCAACCCCCAAAGGATCTTTTGGTAAAAAAAAAAAAAAAAAAAAAAAAAAAGGCTATATTCTTTGCTTTTGTCACAAAGTAGAGGATAGCTGTACCCTTGAAGATCTAGTAACTTGAAGGTCACACCATAACCCACCTCACACACTCCTGTAATAATTTACCCTGTTGTCTAGACTTAATGACAGATAGTGATGCCAAATATAATTCTGCTACTAGAGTGACTGTGTAATTGAAAGTAGGAGGTAATAGCTCCGTATCTATCCATAGACATTTACATTATCCTCTTTAATTACTTTACAATAATTCACCGTGTGCATGTACTATTATTTATCTAGCTAGTTGCCTGTTTATGTCTCTTTAGGTGGGATGATAGTGTCAAGATCACATTTACAAATTCAATGAGTGAGTCCTTAATAGAATGATTCATAGAAATGAAGAGGGAGTTATCTGGTTAATGTTGATAAAGAATGCAGTGTCTCTAACCTGCACACACATTTTTACAGCATGGAGCATTACTGATTCCTTGCTTCTCCCAGAACTGCCTAAGGTCTGAATCACCTCTTATCTTCTTCTGCCGTGGGATGTTTCCCATTCTCCAGTCCGAGGCACCCCTAGACAAACTTGGGTCATGGTTTTTTGTCTTGCACTTTCACTTTCACAGCACTTATGTCCCTCCTTAGAGTAGCCGCATATTGTAACTATGGTTTGGACTTGGACAGGAAGGGTGTATTATCATCTGTGTATCCCCTGCACCAAGGTGCTCTTCCTCTGATAGGAAGATACAGGGGAAATGGTCTTTGTGGGTATCTCTTTTAAAAGCTAGTAGCCCAGGCAAAGCTCTTTGGCCGCTGCTTTGTTTCTGCCTTTCACTCCTCTGTCTTCAGATGAAGTTGCTGTGAATACTCCTCTTGGCTAAGCTGCATATAATACTTGCTCTGCTTCTGAGCCCTGTGAGATGGGGTCTATATTTAGAGAGCTCCGAGAGCCAAAATAGAGGCTCCTAGCCTCCCTCCTAGGATGTCTGTTCCACCCAGGGGCCATCCCTTCCTCCATTGCATCATCACTGAGTTGCCTAGGCTTCATGACAAGCAGTGATGCTAAATATCATTTTGCCTATAGGTGGCTGAATATTCAAAAGTAGATGTTAAAAACCTTAACCTATTACCAATTTCTGGTAATAAATCCTATCTATCTATCTATCTATCTATCTATCTATCTATACTTTATACATATAAGTATATCCTTTATATATAAAAATATATATGTGTATATATTTAAACCAAATCCAAACACCCTATTCAACCTAACAATTGAGGCTTTGTCATGAAACAGTTATCATGGAGGTGAGAGAAGGCTATTAAAAAGAATTACCTGGTAGCTATCTTTATCCCTTGTTAATTTTTCTTCTTTGTCCTTGATTTGAGGCCGTCACACCTTGATATGTGACACTTTGGAAAGTGCTGAAGTTCTGTCCTTTCACTATTTGCCCAGCCTTTTATCTCTGTTCTTTGATTTTGACTTAGACTTTAAACCAGTGAATTTGATAAGGATTTCCTTAAGTATTACACTCAAACCAATCAGATATTTGGAAGGCTCAAAAATATGTTTGTTCATAAGTACCTTGCGTAATTTGCACATTCAAACTTAGATTTTAACTCAAAAATCTCCCCATAAATAGACTTTTAGCATATTCTTTGTCTTCTTTTTGGATGTTTTTATTTCAGTTTATTTTTTTAGTTTCTTATTTATTGGTGTTAGGCAGCTCCTTTTTGAGGAAGTATTTATAAAGGAAATACAGAATGTAAAAGCTGTTAAGAATCAAGATGGACTGGTTTATGCTTACAACAAACTAAATGCAGTGCTTAAAGCAATTAAAAAGTTGGGCTTGTGGCACATGCCTGTAATCTCAGCAGTCTCAGAGGCTGAGGCAGGAGGGTGGCAAGTTTGAACCCACTCAATGACTTAGCAAGGCTTTGTCTCAGAATAAAAAAGTAAGTGCCTGGTGAGTCAGTTGGATGCTCTGCTTCATGTTCTTCTTCCTCCTAGACTGACGGAGCGAGGTGCTCTGCATATTGTCTGTGTCTACACCAGAAGAAAAGAGGGAATCTCACAGGAACTCTAACCACTTAAAAGTGACAGTCTACTTCAGGACACATTTCATTGTCCAAAGCAAGCCATGTGGCTGTACCTTACTTGAGCAGAGAGACGGGATTAGAATTCTGTCACTGGCATGAAAGGCATATAAGCATTTGGTAAACTGTGCAGATAATTACCATAGCTTCTTAGTTGTAGTACTTAGGTCTTAGTTGTACTACTCTTTCATGCAGGTTAATGGTGGCATAGTAAAGTGCCTGAACACATAGAATTTGAGTGCCTGAGCTTGAATACTGGCTCTGTCATTTACTAGCTGTCTAAACCATTTTTTTTTTTTTAAAGAGGAACCAAGGAAAATAAAACAGAATAAAATCAATCAAAATAAACCAGAATAAGTGATACAGGACTTCCAAACCTTTTGAAATCAACAGTAGTTACCACAGTACCTTTGTGTCTTCAAAATAGCTACAGATACCACTTTTGGACATATTAAAAATTGAACAGAACAGAATAGAATAGAAACAATAAAAACAAAACAATGAATAGAATAAAGAACCTCAAAACAAGCCAGTAGTAAATACTTAGTGGCTTCCGTAACATGTCTTGTTATCTTTCAAATAACTGCTTATGCCATCAGAGTTAACATAAACAAAACAAAAGAGAATAAACCCCAACTCCAAAGAAAAAACAATGAAAATGATATGGTTTTGGGGTGAAGATCTCCTCCTGTAGAACATGGTTCTCTCCCTCCGCAGTCCACAAATGGCGCTGACTCACAGAGACAGGCTTGGTTCTGGCTCTCTGCAGGCTGACAGCAGCCCACGCTTGGCGCTGGATCCAGGCGGCTAGAACAAAAGTTCTAAAACTCTTGGTGTTTCTCTATTGATAGGGGCATCTTTTGCTCTAGCTGTCTAATCTTGAGCAAGCAGTATACTCTATTTAATTTCCCACTTGAAATAACACTACTTTACAGTATTGTTGTGAAAATTAAATGAGATCATCTTTACAAAGCCAGTACTTTCCACAGAGTAAGCACTCATTGAATCTTTGTTTTTCTTTCTTTCTTTTTTTCTTTATTGGATCTTTTTGAGACAAGAGTTTCACTATGCAGTTCAGCCTGGCCTTGAACTCACTTTGTAGCCCAGACTAGCCTTGCAAGCAGTGACCTCCCACCTCAGCCTCCTAAGTGCTGGGAGTACAGGTGGGCACCACTATGCTTGGCTACTTGTTGAATCTTAGTTGTCATTAGAATCAAGTGCTTACATAAGTTAAAAAACTCATGTGTGTATATATCATATTGTCTCCCTAGTATAAAAAAAAAACTGAAAGTAAATAAGATCCAAAATGTACATAGATATTGTGAAAATAAAAGGGAGAGAAAGTGCTCAAAAGGAAGAACAGGGATAGGGAAAAGGAGAAAAGAAAGAAGGGGAAATATTATATGTATATATGTATTATGTATGTGTGTGTGTGTATGTACATATGTATATAGATACATATATGTGTATATATAATCTGCAGATAGATAACTGTACTGCTAATCTCTGGTCATCAAAGAGAACAGTTTGTTCTTCTTTTAATGTCTAAATGTTGTAATCTGAACAAATACTTTTAAGATAACAATATGCAGTATTAAACTAGTGTTAATTTCCTATTCTTTTGAATTCTGTATCCTTTTTATCCTTTTTTTTTTGTTTTTAAAAATAAAAAAAAAACAAAAGAATTGAGCACTTAATGATTTCAGTTACTTAAAAATTACTGCTTTAGCATATGCCTGTGATTCTAGCACTTAGGAGGTAGGAGGATCACTGCTACTTCAAAGACAGCCTGAACAACATAACAAAACCCTGTCTAAAATAAAAAGGAAGTTACTACTTCAGAGTTTCCTCCTTTATTTTATGTATTTATTTATTTTTTGGTACGAGGGATCAAACTCACGACCTCATGCTTGCCAGACAGGTGCTTATGCTGCTGAGCTAAATCCCCAGCCCTCTCCCCTTTATTTTAAAAGATCATGAAAAGGTGCATCCTAACATCTATCTATCTCAGGATGAGATATGGATAGGACTGCCTTGCTGAGTCAGTTTTACTGTGGCCTTTGAAAGCATCTATCCAGATCCTACCACCAAAAGAAAAAATAGGACTTCTTTCTTAGGATTTTTAATACTTTAAACATTTCTTAAGAGTAGAAAACTTGAGATATACATGTTAATTCTTTGTGTACCCACTAGTTGACTTAGCATTTGTCTTCTGTATTTTACTGTAGCTCAGAGTGAAGATCTCCACTGAAGTTGGCATCACAAATGTCGATCTGTCTACTGTGGATAAGGATCAGAGTATTGCACCCAAAACTACCCGGTAGGTGAGAGGCCATGTGGGCTTTGGGTTCCCATCTCCAAAGTAAGAAGAACATGCCTTGGCACTGTGCCCCTCCAGGTGGGATCTGTGCCTGCATTCTGGAGACTGTATTTCCTATGGTGCTGCTCTTGTCATTCTACTTGGCATCTGAGCAGATTTGGGGATTATTTTCCCTGATGTTCACTCCAGGAATGAACTGGTTACTGTTAATCCACAATGAGTTACGGGGCTTATTTTTAGGGTATAATTATGTCCTGAGTTGACTATGTCACTAAACATATTGTTTAAGTTAGATGACATTTTTTTAAATAATGACTTCCCGAGTGGAAAAGCAGTATATTAATTTACATTTTGGCACAGTTCCCTTGTTGTACATAGTCGCGTATTTAATACCAGTAGCTTCATGGTAACTGTTTCTGGTCTGTGGTAAATCTGAAGTCAGTTGGAAGCCTCCTAGGTTCTTAGAATTAAGGAGACAAACACCTAGCACTAAGGCTACCTTTCACTTTCCCAAGTCCATGGAAGGTGTTCCCGAGTTGTAGTACTTGTTCTTGTTTACCTCAGACACAGCCAAAGGTGACCATGAATAGCTGGTCAGAATGCTGTAGGGTACCCATTTGCAGAAAAGAACAAGGTGCTTAACTAGATCTCAATACAGTTCTTATCCTAATTTTATTTAACTGGTGTGGTGGTAGACCTGATAGGAGGTGAACACGGAAGACCATTTTGAAAGTCAGGAACCTTTTAAGTTATGTTTCTCTCTGGGGGTTGGTTATCATTGTTGGTGATATTGGAGAGAAAAGCATTGTTTGAGGATTCGCTGAAGTATTGTCTGTGAGAGTGCCTTCCACCATTAATAAAATGAAAAGTTGGTCTTTATTCATGAGTAAATTTAAAGCCACAGTATTAAGTGTAGAGTATAAATACGAAATAAAGCCAGATGTGAGCTCTGTAACCATTTGGCTTATTTACCCCCTGGCCATCTTCTCTGAAAGTCCCAGGAGTTTGCTATGACAAAAAAATTTTCCTCTTCCAGTCTTCATTTTGAGAAAAACGACTTTTTAAAACCCAATTTCAGGGCAGTGAAAATTGAAGCAGTGTCCAGGGAAAAAAAATGCAGCATTAAAAAAAAAAAAAAAAAAAAAAGACAAAAAGCTTAGGGTTGTTTTTTTTGAACTCTGTGTTCCTTCCTCCCCCATCTCTTAGCCTTATGCACATAATTCTGCCAGCGTCAATCCATGAGTATTTCCCCTGCAAGCTCTGCCAGCCCAGCTCTCAGCCTGCTGCTGTGCCTGCAGAGGTACGCGTGAGCTCTAATGGCTTGGTTGAGTTGAGACCTTAGTCCTCGAAGTGAAATCCCAGATGTGCAGGTATCTGCACAGAGCATTTCCTCAGACCCTGATGAAAGCTTTCTGAGTCTTGGCTTGGGGGCTGAGGGTCAAGCTCCATGATACAGTACTTGCCTGATGTGCTCAAGGTTCTAGGTTCATTTCCCAGCAGCTCAAAGAAATAAAACAAACAACAGAAAAAAACCCACTTCTTAATTTCTGGCTTTATCAATTCACTTTTGATGCTATGTACCAGGAATTGAACTTGGGTCCTCACGCTTGCCAGGCAGGCACTGTGCTACTAAACTACATCCCCATCCCTATCAATCCACCTTGACCCCAGGCTACAGACATTTCTCTGTGTTTGCTCACCACAGAAGTAGGATGTTGAGAGAGGATTCACCCCCCCAAAGAAAGTAATAAGCACTAAGGAGTAATAAAATCCAAGATGTGTAAATTTTGTTGTAAAAAAGAGAGGGAAAAAAAAAAAAAAAAAGAAAAAGAGCTTTAACGGATATAACAGCAAGTGTGTTTGGGGGTGTTAAATAGCTGACTTTATCAATGTTTTTGGAACATTGAACACAGCTGTTTGCAGTCTCCCTATTTGAATGTCCACCTTGTGTTCTTTGATACTGTGATTTGAGGAACTGTTTTCAAGAAAATAGTGTGTAATCTACTAGCAGGTAATTTCTTACTGTTATGGTTTTTTGTTTTGTTTTGTTTTGTTTTGCTTTGTAGTTCTGTATTGCGTGTACCCTTATGCCGCTTTGGTTTGTTTTGTGTTTTTCTCTTTTTCCTCTTAAATAAAAAAAAATAAAAAAAAAAAGAGAGAGAGAGGATTCAGCATTCAAATGAAGAATGTGTGTCTTGCCTGTTCTCAAAGATAAGCAGATCCTGTGTAATGACAGTCTGTGTAATGTCTCTTTCAGGGTAACCTACCCAGCCAAAGCCAAGGGCACATTCATCGCAGACAGCCACCAGAACTTCGCCTTGTTCTTCCAGCTGGTGGATGTGAACACTGGTGCTGAACTTACCCCTCACCAGGTCAGGAAGAAGCCAGTCAGTTCTCTTGGCTGGAAACATGAATGCACGCTAGAGTAATGATTTGGTTTAACATGAACAAGAGGAAATGCCTCATTCCTGCTTTCAGTTCTTGACTCGAAGCCCTGCCAGCCCATATGATGCTCTCACCCTCTTGTTCTGGGTATAACTGTACACCTGGGCTTCATGCTTTTTTTAAAGGATGAGCTGGTATTGAGAAGATGTGTTTAGGGCAGATGAGCTCTTAATTGAAATGTTTTAAATTTGCAATGTAAAGAAAAAGGAAAAAGAATAAAATTCCAAAAAAGAAAAAGAAAGCCTAAGCAGAGGACCTAAATTTTGTTCTTCTGTTTTTTGAGACAGGCTCTTGCTTGTGTAGTTCAAGCTGGCCTTGAATTCGCAGGAATCCTCCTGTTTCTGCTTTCCAACTACTGGCATCACAGGCTTATGCACCATGCCTGGCTCGCCAGATCATTTTGTTGTTTTTGTTGTTGTTATGGCCAGCAGATTTTTTATTATGGGGGTCTGAAGAATAGCCCTTTTATACTGTATCTATTGTGATTTTTTTTGTTTTTTTCCTGGTACCAGGAATCAAACTCAGGACCTTGTGCTTGCTGGACAGAGCTTATGCCACTGAGCTATATCCTTGGCAATACTGTGTATACTTTGCATAATAAAAACAGTGCATTTTTTTATATACATAAAGTAGTAATTATCATTTTAAAGGTTTTCAACCATGCAGCCTTTTCTCAAGGGACCTAAAATGGCACCTTGTCCTCATATCTCCCCTACCTCCTGTCTCTAGCATCTTAATTTGAGAAAAACTACTCTTGGTCCTATGGCATGTGTGGTTAGGTGTGGTATAAAGGAAACTGTTGTTAAGTACGTCAGCTGCTTACAGTTAAGAAAGAATGAGGGAGCTCACAGCTTGGTTTATGGCTCTATACTGATGCTTAGCTGGAACCAGCAGAGTTGTGTCTAGCCTGCAGCAGCAGCAGAGCAGACCATTACAGTGAATGGAATTTTACGCAAAGCTTCTTGTTTCTGTTTCTTGTGGCTGTAGCTGCTGTACCTGGGCTCCTGTGCTCCTGCCCTTAGGGCCACAGTCCTGGTACCTTTCTGCTCCTTTCCTCTTCACCCTCAAACTCCAGGGTCTTTTACAGTTCCCCCTCTTTCTAGGCATCTTGATCAGGGCACTTAGCCATGGCTGGCTGATCTTTAAGCACTTCTTATGATTTTCCAGTTCTCTTCCAGAATGACATTTGGCAACCAAATAATGCAAGGGAGGAATAATGTGAAGGGACAAAATTTGAAGGCTGGATTGGTAGGCTTAGGGTTAGGGCAGGGAGAATAGGTGAGGAAACATAACTTTAACTGAACACTTGTTTCCTCCCAGTTCTGTTTTGGAATCCATGGCATGGAATCCAGATAAAGATAGCACCTTGCAGATGAGCTTGGCAGCTACTTGCACTTAACTGAAAAGATCAGGCGTCTATACTTGTAAGCCCTGTTCCTAAGACTAATCATTGTAGTCAGGATGGTTCATATATCTGGGTTTCTTTTCCTAGGTAGGTGGTTATTCTTTGTTGCCCAAGTGTAATTAACAAATGAGATTTCAACTTTTTCTGTGGACCCAGCACTGAGTGACCATGGCAACTCATTTAATGTTTGTGTTTTATGATCTATAATTAGAGCTAACTTACCTGCCTTGTTGAATCTTTATTTTCAAACACTTCCAAGAAAAGCTGAATGGATATTAAGCTTTGCTGTACGATGAGTGACCTCCATTCATATACTTGATTCTTTTCACAGTTCTGGTCACAAACTGTTAGATGAAATCAAATCAAATTCCATGGTTAGGTTCAGTGTTAACCTTATGGGTAAATTTGATTCGGTTCTCATCCAATTTGGTCTGTGACCAGAATCACAGAGAGAATTGAGTTCATGAACCAAAGTACCACTGTAGTTGTAAAGCAGAAAAACATGGGGTTTTTTTGTGCCAATGAGATGGAGCTTTAAGTGATTAAACTTAGTATCATTTTACTGAGAATATTACTAGCAACTGTTGGTTGACTAGCTAGTATATCCCAGCCCTGTTACATGCTTTGTATTCATTATTACAAATCCTTACAGAGATATACCACATCAGAAGTTAACCTGCCTGCTTTAAAGATGAAGAAGCAGGCTAACAGGCAGTAGAGCCTGCTTTGTCTGTCTTCAGAGCTGGGGCCGTCTCTGTGACATCAGGCTGCTCTGCTCAGTTAGAACTCTGCTGGTATCGACACTCAAGCCTCCTCTACTAAATGTTTAGCTGGAGGCACTAGGAAATTGAAAATGGTCCTTTTACAGTTCCAGCTCATTTCCCTTCTTTTCACCCTCTAGTGAAGAAGTTAATTGGGCAGCAAAGTGGCCAAAAGGCTGGCAGGAAGAAGAAACTGCAGCAGTAGCAAAGGGTTTAAATCATCCACAAACTGGGTACTGGGCATTTAGTCCCCAAAAAACTGGCTGGATCCCTAAATTAAATTTCTTTCCTTCCATCAGCACAAATTGTCTCTGAGCTAGGTTGAGATGGCCATTGCTTCCACTCTCTGGGGTGCTCTGGCAGATTCCAGAGCTCTGATGAAAGAACTGACAGTCTACTGCCTTGTTGATTTGACATTGGGCCCACAGGGAGGTTGTTGATGTTGATAATGCTGCTGCTGCTATTGTTGTTTTGAGATGCTGGGGACTGAAATCAGGGCCTTCAAACTGAGCTACATTTGCAGCCTTTTTTGATTTTTTTTTTTTTTTTAAATTTTGCTAAGTCATGCTTAGTTGCCCAAGATGGGGTCAAACTTGTCACCCTCCTGCCTCAGCCTCCCAGAATGCTGGGACTATAGGTGTACACAACATACTCAACACACAGACTTTCGAAATGATCAGATGAAAAGTTGTATTTTTGTTCCACTTAGACATTTGTCCGACTGCATAATCAGAAGACTGGCCAAGAAGTGGTGTTTGTTGCTGAGCCGGACAACAAGAATGTATACAAATTTGAATTGGACACCTCTGAAAGAAAGATTGAATTTGACTCAGCCTCAGGCACCTACACTCTCTACTTAATCATTGGAGATGCCACTCTGAAGAACCCAATCCTCTGGAATGTGGTATGTGTCTGAGTGCACCTGACCCAGATGAGGGTGGCTGTGCCATTGTCACACACAGCTCATTTCCCAGCCCCAGGACTTTTCTTCACCTAGTCTTGCCTGTGCCTCTCACAGGCAGCAAAGGAACACTGTGAGGCAGGGCACTGTGTCTGCTCTGTAGGTAGTTTTAGGCTTATGCAGGTAGCTTATTGCATGGTAGGTGTTTAGTATCGACTGAATAAATGAAATGTAAATTTACCCTCGTGAGTTTTGGTAATCTGTGAATTCCTTTCAGTGTTATCCTAGGAAGAGGATTTTATTACAGTAGGATTATAAAGAATGCTTAGATGTAAAAGGTTCTAGCCGTTGAGCTGTGGTATAGCTTCCTGGAAGGAATAAGATTTGAATTTTCATGATAGTTCAGGATGGCATATGATAGTGAGTTTTAGGGTTACAAAATGTTATTACACCGAGAACCACTTCTGTGCTTTTCACCTAGAGATTTCACTTTGGCTTAGTGTAGTGATAACTTCTTGAAAGACATGACTTAGAGTTAGGAGTTAAAGAAAGGCAGGGGCTCTGTCAGGCTGTTATCTGGGGGCTGTGGGATATCTCTGGCGAGCAGTGCTGAGAACTTCAATATGCTTCTGGGGAAATGTCAGTGGTTCTGTCTTTCAGAGCCCCTGGACCCGGTGGAGAGCGGCAGAGGGTGCAGTTGGAGGGTGTCAGAGGCCAGATTGCAGTCTTGTCAGGGGTCAGTCACTTTGCAGGACGGGAGGCAGATGCATTTCCTTGTGTTCATGGTTCCCTTTCTTCTCCTGGACTTTGGGCTACTTTTGTACAAGAGCATATTTTCATTTCTTTCTTTTCTTATTGCATGTCCAAGGGACACCAAGCAGTTTCTGATTACAGCTGAAACAACCAGTGTACCAGCTGGGATTTTTGTATTATGCAGCTCTATGGGGCTTTTTCTATCATACTAGTAGAAAATTGGAACTCTTGCTCCAAAAGCCTTTTCAACAAGTGCTTGTTTTGTTCTTGAAATCTGTACTATCTCGATTTGTCAAATAATGGATCAGAAGTGATTGGGCTGCCTGGAGTGTTTTCCAATTTGTCATGGATGGGATTTAGAGAGTCATCTTGCTAAGGTGTTCCCTTGCCCCCATCCTCCTAAAGACTGTTCTTATATTTTAGGCTGATGTGGTCATCAAGTTCCCAGAAGAAGAAGCTCCCTCAACTGTCTTGTCCCAGAACCTTTTCACCCCGAAACAGGAAATTCAGGTATATCCAAATTGGGGATATATCTGGGTATGTCTCACTGGGCATAGCATAGTGAAAAAAGCAACAAACCCCTGGGCTGTAGCTCTGGTCCTTCTTTAACCTATTTATTTTATTGTTTGAGCCTTACCACTCTGTGAATTAGGTAGAAAAATAGTAATTCTTCCTGGAGCTGGACAGACAGGTTTGGAGAGCTGGTGCAAATTCCCAGAGAGCAGAATTGGTGATAAAGTCAGAGTCTACCTTTTCTGACATGAAGGGGCTCAGACCTCAGATCACTGCTCCACAGCCATAAGCTTTAGCTTTTGTCCTCTTTCCTCCTGCATGAATTAGCTAGCTCACTTGGGGGGACAAAACTTCACGCCCGTAGGCAAGTTCTTTATCTCTACCAGGGCTCCTTTTCCTTACAGCACAAAAATCAACAAACCCTGTCCATCACAGCTCAGAGGAGTGTTGTAAGGAACAAAAGGATAATAAGGAAAGAAAGGCTTGCAGACCTGTAAGGAGACTGAGGCAGAAGGATTATAAGTTTGAGGCCAGCCTGGGCTACATAGCAAGACTTTATATCTTGTCTCAGAAAAGATAAAGGAAGGAAGAAAGGGCTTGGGAATGTTTCTAGGAACCTTTGCAAAATAAATGTTAAACAGTTTGGGTACTAGGTAAGGAAGCTAACTAAAGTAGATCCACTCAGTGGACTGTTTTGCAGTCATGAAACATGGTCAAGCTGTAGAAATGTGGAAACCTATGTATCACTTTGTGTGAAATGTTAAAAGCAGAGTACTTACTCTCACTTAACTGTTTTAACATGTTCATAATGAGGCCATACTCATACGTCTCACTGCTGGGCAGCTCTGAATCACCAGTGGTTCAAGTTGGCAGAAATGTTTTACAAGTCCAAGGGCTGAGAGGGTAGAGTAATAGAATTCTTTCTGAAACTCCTCTCCATGTTGATGCAGCACTGGGCAAGAATACACAGTGCAGAGCCAGTTATGGTTGAGCATGTCTCTAATCCCAGCATTCACTAAAGCCAGCCTGAACTACATAGCAAACCTGTCTGACAAAACAATAAAAGAGAATATGCAGTGCAGCTAGCTGATAGGAGGAATGCCACTGGTGAGGGAGGTGCCGGCTGGTCTGGAGAGAGGAGTAAATAGGTGGCAGCAGCTGCTACAGATCATTTAGACACATCTTCATGCCAATGGCAGCAAAGAGGAGATGAGGTGAAAATTTAGCAATAGGAGCCTCAGGTGGGCCATCCTTCTCACAGAGTTGAGTTGACTAGGCACTGGCAAGTAGAAAAGATGACCCTAGTTTGTACATTGGAGAAAAAAATCTTTTTAAAAAAGGATTCAATTTGCATGTGTGTTATATCTCATAAAGTACAGTGTTCAGTGCTGTATTCCATTTTGTCCTCACAATATCTTAAGCCTGTTAGGGTGGTCATTGCTCTCCACATGCCCAGTTGTCCACCTAGAAACTGAGCCATACATGTCAGTTTGGTACTAGATAGAAGTGTGTTGCCTCTTCATATTAATTAGATTACCTTCCCAAAGAAAATTTGTGTTGAGTTGCTCAGGAAAAAAAAAAAACCAAGTATCAGAAGTAAAGTTTACCCAGGCCACTGGCTTAAATCAGGTAGAGTAAGGAAGGACGAAGTTTGTTCAGCTCTTCCTTAGAGCCATGACAAAGGCAAGACAGGTGAGTTAAGGTTGGAGCAGGTGAGTTACGGTTGAAAGTTAGTAGTGAGACACTGTTAAATGTTAAAAGGAGAAGACATTACTACCAGCTTGCTGACGGAAATAGGTGGCAGCCTATGGCCTCGGAACCCAAAGCATGATAAAATCCATAGCCCTGCCCTGGGTCCGTAGACCTAGCCACCTTCCATGACACTGGCCAGATATCACTTGGGTTACATTCTCTAACCTGTAAATGGCAACAAGTCCTGTGAGCTGGGACCAGTGTAGCATGTTGGCAAGGGAGACCTGTGGGCTCAAAAGCCAATATTAAGAAGAGGTGAAAGGCCAACTGGCCGTTTGTTGCCAAGTGTTAGCCTCTGGGGGCCTTTCCTCTTCATGGTTGTCACTGACCTTTTGGGATACATGGCTGCCCTGCTGGAAGTTCCTGTTCTCAAGTCTTCTTTTGGCAGCACCTGTTCCGTGAGCCTGAGAAGAGGCCGCCCACGGTGGTGTCCAACACATTCACAGCCCTGATCCTCTCGCCCTTGCTCTTGCTCTTTGCTCTGGTGAGTCACTGTAATTAGCATGGGCAGCGGGTGTCTGATGTCAGACTCGGCAAACGTAATCATTGCAAAGGAGGCTTTGTGCTCTGGCCTCAGCACAGTTCCAGAGGGGTCCACCAGCTGTGACCTGAGCTGATGGTCAAAAAAGTTTAGAATACCAAAATTTCCCACTATGGGTGAGTGGCCAGATAAACAGATCTATTAATGAGGGGGCATGAGAAAGTTCCTAAGAACTAAAGTGACAAAAGTGTGTGGCTGTGATGCTCTGTGGGAATGTTCAGATGAGATGAGGTGAAAAGTACAGCCCCTGCTGCTGGCAGTGAAGAATGGAGAGCAGAGGCTGCACATTCCAACTCTGTTGGGAGCATAAAACAACTGAAAGTCCTCATAAAAGTAAGAGTTCATTAGTACAGTGTGGGGATTATTAACTGAACGGATAGATCTTTTTGCCAATAGGTGGCCCAAGTGAGCAAGGCAAGGTATAGGATAATTGTGGAGTGTGATCCTCTCTGTGGGAAAATGTTTAACAATATGTATCAGTGTTGGTCCCCTCTGAGGAAGCATTTTGGAGAGTACAGAGGAAAGAATATTTAGCTTATATGTTCATTGTATCATTTGTATATTTCTAAACCAATTAATTGGATTTTTCTTTCTTTCTCTTTTCAAGTTGTAAACATAGTGCATTCAATCAAACTCAATTCAATCTTTTGGAGAATTATTCCCAATTAATTTTTTGGTTGTAAGAAAAGAATTATTGATTAAGTCTAAAAAGCATTCCATAAGGTTTTGGGTTCCAAATTCAGGATATGAGCACTTTTTCTCATATTTGACCAAAATTTCTTTTTTCTTTTTTTTTTTTTTTAATTTCTTATCTTTTTTTTTTTTTTTTTTTGTGTCTTTTTCCTTTTTATTGGTACTGGAGATCGAACTCACAACTGCCTGCTTGCAAGGCAGGCACTTATTTTTTTTTTTTTTTGTCTTTTTCCTTTTTATTGGTACCGGAGATCGAACTCACGACTGCCTGCTTTCAAGGCAGGCGCTTATGCCGCTGAGCTAAATCCCCAGCCCCCTGACCAGAATTTCAAAAGGCACAGAATGCACAGCTGTCCTACCAGCTCCCAGTGCAGTTCTTGTACCATCTTTTACAGAACTTCATGGTAGATTCAGTTACTTCATCATAGATGCAGCTTTTGACCTTCAGCTTCACAGTTTAACTTGTTTTAAGATACAAGTGTTTGCTGTCATAAATAGTGGTGTTGAAGTTTGAATTAGCCAAGCACATTTCAGAACAGATGCTAAGGGCTGGGGATTTAGCGCTGAGGCACAAGCACCTGCCCGGCAGGCGCAGGTTCATAAGTTTGATCCCCACTTCCCAAAAAAAAAAAAAAAAAAAAAAAAACCCGAGGTGCTAAGATATCTTTCTAAAGAAAAAAAGGAACAATTTTTCCTTACATCCTATAACAGAGTAGTTGTCACTTGAAAAATGCTGACCTTGGATTAGTATTCATATGGCACATGTTGCATCTCTTAAAGTCCTAATGTTTTTTTAATTTATTTCTCCCCATCATTCAGTGGATCCGGATTGGAGCCAATATCTCCAACTTCACTTTTGCTCCTAGCACGATTATCTTTCACCTGGGACATGCTGGTAAGTGCCCCAGGCTGCCAATTCTGTTTAACCTCCTCTGACATTTTGTCTGCCCCCACAAAAGCCCTGTTAAATAGACCCTCAGCCTATTAACTATAATGACTTAATAGCATAACATTTTCCTCTTCCTCCTGGCCTTTTATAACAGTTAATATGATGATAAAACCTGTTAGGCCCATCAGCTTAGAACAGCTGTCATTATATTGGGCTTCATCGTACTAGGTGGCCGTTGGCAGGCCACTTACCTTCATTTAATAGCCCTGTTCATTTCCAGAGATTACTCACTTATCGTATCTTTACACTGAGCCATCTTCCTGGATGAAGAGCATTAATGCAGTTTCCAAAGGTTATCTTTCCCCACCACATCGATCTTCACAAGTGCTCCATTATGCTTCTGTCTGGACAGTAATAGAGCTGGTCAGACGTGCTGTTATACCTTGTTCTCTTGAGAATTTAGGGCCTAAGCAGCCTCCAATAACAGGACAATAATTTCACAAATCAGGCGTTTCTGAGATTTTGATACGCTTGAATCAGTGTTGCCTTATTGCCTCTTTCAGGGTCATCGTCTCTGCATCCATGGTATATAGATAGCTTCTGGAAATAAATTCCTGGCAAATGTGTGTCTGTATTTTTCTGGGGAAAGAGAGAGTGCATAACTTTGATCAGATTCTCACAGTGGTCCATGATCTCAAAGTGGTTAAGAACTCCTCCTGTAGTTCATCTGTCATCCCTCTGGGCACATTTGACAGTATGACCTTTCTCTCCAGCTCGGTTAGTAGATTTGGAAGACAGCTTTCTGGTCTCAGACTGAGAACAAAATCTGAATATAAATTCATTTAGAGCTGTGATTTTTTTAAAAAATTTTTTTTAAATTTTGTTAGTTTTCTTTTTGTGAATATTTTTTCATTTGATTCTCATTGCAACCCTGATAGGAATGACTCAGCAGGGTTTATAATCCTGTTTGACATGTGAGAGAATTTGGGCTCAGAGAAATGAAGTGCTGATGAGGGCAGGGCTTGGAGCAGAACCCAGGGCTGTCAGCACCCAGCTCTGACCCCTTTTCACTAAATTTTCTCCTCACTCCCCTTTGATCCCTTCCTAGTCCTAGTGGTAAATCATTCTTAACATGGCTACCAGGCCTGGCTTCCTGAATATGCTTTTAATGAAAAAATTATTCATTTGTATCCTGCATACTTTAAGATTTGAAAATTGTAGTATCTGCTTAATAATTTTAGCACTTAGTAATCTTAGCACTATAGAAAGCTGAGGCAGAAAGATTGTGGCCTGGGCAACTTGGTGACTTGATGAGTTCCTGTGTCAAGATAAAAAAAGAACTGGAGGCGTAACTTAGTGTAAAGAGCTGGGTTCAGTTCCCAATACCACGAGAGAAAAAGAAAAGGCAGAGAAATACATGTGAGATGGATTGCGAGAAAGTAGCTGAAATCTGATTTTTTTTACTTCTGTATTTTTTATGTCAAGTTTGAAAAGCAAGAATAAATCAAGTTACCTATTCTCTGGCATTGGATAAGAGGGATAAAACAAACTAATCTAGAAATGCAAACTTTTGCATGACTGAACAGTCACTGTTTCTAAACCCCCCTCCATCATAGGACATTGTCACTTTGTCATTTAATTGGATATTATGACACTTTTTCTTGTAGCTATGCTGGGGCTCATGTATGTCTACTGGACTCAGCTCAACATGTTCCAGACACTGAAATACCTTGCCATCCTGGGCAGTGTGACATTTCTGGCTGGCAATCGAATGCTGGCCCAACAGGCAGTCAAGAGGTGAGGCTGGGGTGGGCTGGGAATTAGAGATGTTTGTGTGAGCTCTGCCAGCCCAGCCCCTAGGGCAAGGCTTTGTGGCAACATGACCCAGATCTAAGGGCAAGTCTGCTATCATGCAGCCTGATGCAGAAGCTGTAGGCAAGAAAGGGCTTTAGTGATCACCTGTAGATGTATTAAAACGACAACAAAATATGTCTATAAACATTAGAATGAGAGAGGAAAAGAACTGCTTTATGAAGATTGAAATGGGTTAGAATACGTGGTGGAAGATGATTCATTTTCTGGCTATATAAAAATTCCCCTCTCAAGCTGAGGACATACGTCAGTAGTAGGGCACTTGCCTAAGTTTCATCCCCAGCACTGAAAAAATAAACAAAAAACCACTTTTTTTGTTACTACACAGGATCCTTCCCAGCACCTAATGGCACCTGGGGCTTTTCCTCCCAGTGTGAGCTCTGCATTCTTCCCATAGAAGCTGCAGAGGTTTGGCAGAGGCTCCTAGCAGAGAGCATCGGCTTAGGAGCCCACATCACTGTCCAAGGAACCAGACAGCATAAGAGTCAGACAAATGGTTAGACCTTGACACAACGGCATTCTGCTGGCAGCTTGACTTTCAGAACAGTATTAGAGGCAAATTTAAATGTCACAAAGGTGTTTCACATTGATTTGGCTTTATTAGAACCTCGGTAATTTCAGCCACAAAAAGGTCAGAATTGCTTTCACCTTTGGAAGAAATCATTTTTAAATATGCCATGTGTCCTCTTCAGGATGTCCGCTCGTAAAATGTAACTCAGTAGTCTCCCCTCCAGCCGGGCTGCCAATTAGGTCAGTTACCCCGGAGAGAGGCTTTCTCTTAGACTATCAGTGGGTAGGAGAGGCATCTCCACCTGAGTCTCCGCACTACATTTTTAGAGCACCTCCTTGTGGAGATTGGAGTGGATCTCCTCCTGTAGCAGCCCAAATCCCACCAAGTTCCCCTTAGCACCAACAGTGGCAGCTGGTTCATTTTTCGGCAGCTGTCAGTTGGCAGCTGTGCACCGTGTCTAGAAAGAGCTGGAGACTCAGCCATTCTTCCAAATTAGAGCACTGTTCCCCCTTAACAACCAGTCTGGGTTCCCAGGGAGTCGAAAGGCTATGCCCTGCTAATGGGAAGAGCAGAGAGGTAGGTACTCATTTGATTTAGATCCTCCTTAGCAGGAGTTCCTAATCTGAAATCCTAAGTCATATGCATTTTCAGGGGAAAGAGACTATGGTTTTCACTAGCATGCTCAAAGGATTGATGACATCCCCCCAACCTAGGGTGACATGCCTCCCTCAGGAAGGTCAAGCCCATTCTTCTCTCACAACTTTGCAAGTCCTGGAAGGGAAGTCAGTGGCCCTGGTGGAAGCTCTGGTCGGGTGTTTCTGTTTCTGTCCTCAGCTTATTTTCTTCTCACTGTCCTTTCTTGATTCTCAAACCCTCTTTCCTTTGGCAGGATCGCTGCAGAGCAGAGCAGTAGATTGGCAAAATATAGGACACTACGGTAAAGATGAAGGGCGGACTCATCGCAGGAGCAGGGTCCCTTTCCCATCTTGCCTCCTCATGCATGTCAGTGATTCTGTCAAGTTTTCAGCACATTCATCCTCCCTACCTCTCCCCTATGCCAAAGCTGAAATCTCCAGCCATTTTACAGCTTGCTAGGTGAGGCTGTGACTGGACCAGGACCATAGCTTCCTGAATTAGCCGGGATGAGACAGTAACCTCACAGCAGAGCAACTTTGGCCTGGCTCTGACTGTGTAAGACTTCATCCTCCCTTGTGTCTCATGGGATTGTGATTTATACACATAGCCACTCTTTTTATTTATAGGAGAGCAGAGTGAGGAGAAGTCCATTCAAAATAAATTTATAAAATGATGGTCCATGGCAAATCCTGGCACACTTGTCACTGTTTTTAGGCCTTTGCTTAACACTGATGTCTAGTGGGGCCAAACAGTATGGTTTGATGAGAGTCTGAATTCTGAAGGACCCAGGGCCACAGATGAAAGCTAGCAGTGAAGCCAGGTCCTTGAGCTCAGAGTATGACTCTGGTCTGTGCACTTGTCTTCCTGCTGGGGCTTAATGCTAGCACAGGGAGGAAGTGGAGGTCAGATGCAGGCAGAAAGAACGGTGTCTACTTCTTCACAGATCTGTTCTTGTAGACCAGCAGCCAAAAAGAAGTTTCTGTAAAAAATGGTAGTAGTTAGGTATTTTAGGCCAAATGGTCTCTCACAACTAAACTGGATGTTGTCATGTGAAAGCAGACATAGATCACTTAAACAAGTGGGCACGGTACTGTACCAGTAAAACTTTACTCACCAAAATTGGTAGTTAACTGAATTTAGCCTGTGAATTTAGCAGCCTACAGTGGTTGGCTGACCCCTGCCCTGGACCAACAAGGGGGAGGAAGGTATTTGAGTTTCCAAGTTATATTCTTTTTTTTAATCTCTTGCTTTGGAAATGGCTTCCTCTGCCAATGCAGTAAAGCTGTCTAATTTTTAATCCTCTGCAAGTAGGAGAGATCAGTAAAAAGCAGAGCCTTTTTACCGTGCACCAGCGTAGGCTGGGTTACATAGTCCTCAACAGCAGGAGAGATTACATTTTTTTTGGTGTTATTTCTTTTTTGCTTTAACTGAGGTATAATTTACATACAATAAAATTTACTCTTTTTAGTGTATAATTCTGTGAATCTCAAAAGGTTATCATGTAACCATACCTCAGTCAAGGTAGAGCCTTTTTCTACACTTCAGGAAGTTCCCCTGGGCCCTTGCTGAGCAGTCCTTTCTGCCCTCCCCTGTTGCTTGACTTTATCCATTTGAGTTTTCCTAAGTTGTGGTTGTTCTGTGTGAGATTTTCCTTCAGAACTAGTCCTTTCTGCTGCATGAAAGAATTTTTAATTTTTTACTCTAGGTTTTTTCCTCCTTGAGTTTTAAATAGTCCATGTTGATCCTGCTACTCTCAAGTCCTGTTACTTGAAGGAGAGGAAAGTTTCTTGATCATTTGGACATTTGAGGGACTTTCTGAGGTTGCGACCCAGTGCTTAGATTTATCCTTGGTCCCTGAGTACACGTAATGTAGTGTGTAACTTCTCGGCCAAGATCCAGGTCTGTGGACCACCACCTTGCGCTTGTACTTTCACAGCTCAGCTTTTCTACACGAGCATTCCTAGGCGTAGTTGTTAATGTTCCTAGGAACCTCTGAAACTTGGCAAGCAACTAGAGCCTGTAGTTTGGCCCTTAGGATTAGTTCCATGCCTGTGCATACCCCCTGGAACTGCGTCACTGCTTGTTTAGGAGCCTGCTATTCTGCAATATTATCGTCTTAGTCCTCAGTGCGGGTCTAGCTGTCTGCTAAGAATGGCAAGCATTGGGTACCTACTTCCGCTTCCCAGAGCCTGCCTGCCTAGTCTGTCTAGATCACTGATGGCATACCTTTGCCACTCATGACATCACTTATCAGTCTAGGGAAAAGCACTCAAGGATAAAGGGAATAGGTGGAGGTTTTATCTCCTCTTAACATTTTTCTGTTACTGGGCCTATTTTTAAGAATATTCTATGCAAGTTGAGATGATCAGTCTGACTTGGCAAGAACACAGCCAGCTGGCAGAAATATGGTGCAGGATGTCGTCTTCTAAGCTACAGAAGGGCCCCGTGTTGACTAGCAGATATGGAGTCTGGGGAATCAAAGATGAGTATTCTTTAAACTGTCCTCTCTGTTCTGGTTGAAATTTACATAATCTTTTGGCCTTGTACTGTGAAAAGTGTGCCCGGAATTACCTTGTCTCCTTAGAATTTTCACCTACCACTTTCTTGTTTGTCATCAAGTTTGTTTTATTATTTTTAAGTCATCATCAGCTTCAGTTATGACTAGCTGTCCCACATTTCACTTTTGAAATGAGGTAGGGCATGTATGAATAGAGCCAATAGATAAATGAGTATGCCCTTACGAGTGGGATCTTCGCAGTGGGAGAATACCTCGTTCTCTCTGTTGTCACCAGTTAGGAACTGTAACTGTGAATTGAAACCTTCAATAATGTTACGTTTGTCTCCTTTTTCTTTCAGAACAGCCCATTAGTTCCAGAGAAAGGATGGAAAATGAAAACTGAAATGAATGTTGAAAAAAGGAGTTTAAAAACAGTTGAGAGTGTGAAAAAAGAGAAGAAAAAAAGTCACTTTATTTAAAAAAGAAAAACATTGAGATGTGGTTACACTTTTGCTTGTTTTCAGTTTCCCCTGTAAGAGCCGATACCTGTGGCTCAGAGTGTCTGTATCTTTGGCATGATGCCATAGTAAGATGCTATGAATGTCTTCAGTTACCCAGATGTTGCATTAAAACATTGAAATCTGTTTTGGAACAAAGAGAATACCATTAACAAAAGGCTGTTGAGTACTTTCAGGATGGTGGGATCTCTGGATATGTAATGTGAGAATGTGCTTGTTGAGATGGACTTTTTACATTGGTCCTTCTCACCCCTTTCCTAGCAGGATTGAGAATTATCTTGAAAAGTCAGCTTCCTTTCTGCTTTTCCATCAATGACTCTGCCTGCACAGCAGCCCTGATGGTCTTACACACACACACACACACACACACACACACACACAGCTGGAAAGTCCAAGGCACAGGTAAATTTGGAGTCTGGCAGAGGCTACTTCTGAGGGCTGCTTTGTATTCATATGACAGAGACAGAAAAGGATAAAAGCTGGCTAATAATTCCCTCAAGCCCTTAATGGCACTAATCCATTATGTGAGTGGAATTGCTGTGCATTGAAGATGTCATTTCAACATGAATGGGCTGGGGGTGGTTTGAGCCAGTTTTGCTCTGTAATTCAGACTGATCTCAAACTGGCAGCAGTCTTCCTGCCTCAGCCTTCCTAGTGTTGGGATTGCAAGTATGTACCACCATTCCTGGTTTTAACATGAATTTTTATTTTTTTAAATTAATTTTTGGTACATGTATGTACCAAAAATTTGGATATATATATATATATATAATGACATTAATGATGTGTAATTTGTGCCTGTACATGATATATCTTGATCTTTTTTTCCCATTTCCCTCCCCTTTTTCTAAGCCGTTTAACATGAATTTTGGAGGCACACAAATTCAAACCACTGCACTGACACATGGGTTGTCTTAGGCTCTAAAACTTAGAGGGACACACCCATTTCTTGGATGCTCCTTTGAAACAAGATGTGGATAAGTGTCACAAACTTATAATTAGCATTCTGGGAGGCTGATGTGGGAGGAAAAGCTGAACCAGGACAACTTAATAACTTAACAAGACACTGTTTTAAAAACAGAAAAAGGGCTGGGGATGTAGTCTGGTGTAAAGACCTGGGTTCAATCCCCAGTACTATTAAAAAAAAATTTGAACCAGACATGATGGCGCATGAATACTTATAATCTCAGCTACTTGTGAGACTGATGCAAGAGTATTCCAAGTTCAAGGCCAGCCTGAGCAGTTTAACAAAAACTTGCTTCAAAAGTGCTGGGGATATTGCCCAGAGGCAGAGCACCTGCCTAGCATGTATGAGGCCCTGGGTTTGATCCTCACCAGTACTACCCCCTTGTCTGGAGACTTCAGTATAAAAACATAGTGTTAAATTATAAGAGATACTCAGTACTTTATTATAAAATGAGCTTCATGTTAGATGGTTTTGCCCAGCTATAGGTCAATGGGCATGAGTAAAGTAGGCTGGATGAAACTGTGATGTTTAGTAGGTTAGGATTAAATTCAATTTAAAATGGATTTATCAGGTGTAACCCTGTCATAAATCAAGGACCATCCATATTAATGTCATTTCCTGGGTATTAGCAGGAGTCCAGTAAACTCTATAGGGTCCACATTCTCACATTCATTTGTCACTTGACTTCCCGGCTCACATTTCCTGAGTGGCATGGAGTCTTAGAGCCACAAAGAACACTGTCGCCCAATTAGCCCCTAGCTCGGCTACCTGCCAGTTGTGTGACCCAGGCCAACTCATCTGACCTGTCTGGGAAGCCAGCCAGTGAGCCCTGCCCTGCCTTCCCCTAGAGGGTTGTAAGGAGTAAATGTCATGGATGGAAGTCTCTTTGTGAACTCCTAAGTTAATACAAACACAAGAGGTCATGTTAAAAGTGACAAATCCCCTGTTGATTAGAACATTTCTTTAGGGAGAAAGAAAATAGCCCTTTGTCTTAAAGTATGACCCTCATGGGATCAGGGCCCTTCTGTTGGGGAGGGGTTCAGTCTTCTAAGATGCCATTAGTGTCTTTAGTTAATGAAGATAAATTGCCTGAGTTGTTGCCAGGGTGGTTTTTCCCTCTATAATTGCACTGCCCTTGAAAACCACAAGTAGCAGTGGGTCCCACCAGCCATTATTTCATTTGAAAAACTAATTAGAAGTTGAGAGAGCCCTGGGCTTTTGCTTTTGTCTAGGCAGGCCAAGGAAAGAGTTGAACAGGTGAGTCCAGGAGGCGAGAGGGAGTCTCTGGGTCTTCCATTCAGTTCCTCTCCTTTTTTCCCCCTCGGCAGGTTCCCCTCCTGGTCTGCCCACCCTTAGGAGCCAGCCTTCCCTGGAGGGGCCTTTTGCTCCTCATTGTGCTCATTGTCTCAGTGTTTCTCACGCTTCACATTCTTTCCCTGCTCCCTGTGAGAGCAGGTGATCTGAACCCTCTGAAGAACCCAATGAATTTTACAAGTCTGGTACTTTGAGACCAGAGACCTGGCTGTCAGCCCTTCAGGACTTGGATCAAGCGCTCTCCTTTCCTGGTGGCAGTGACCTGGGCTGGAAAGAAAGGCGGTGGGTTGCTTATTGAGTTACCAGCAGCTTTTAGATGCTTCAATTCTCTTTGCACCATTAATTAAAACAGACAATCCTGTCACCCAGGCTTCACGGTGGGTTTTTTAGGTTTAATGCATAAATCTTGTGTACAGCTCAGTGAATGTTTGAATACAACTACACTGATATAACTACTACCCAGATCAAAATATAGAACATTCTTATCACACCAAAAGCTCACAGATTCTGTTAAAAAGCATGTGGAGTATGGCGGCACACCCCTGTAAACCCAGCACTTGGGAAGTTAAGGCAGTAGCATCTCAAGTTTGAGCCAGAAGGGCTGCATGGTGATACCCTAAAAAACACGCAGTAGATAGATGATGTCTGGGGGTTTTTGATCCAGATAAAATGGTTCATGAATAGAAAAAATCAGGTAACCGTTGACATAAAGACTACTGGTTAGTGGCTCCTGTTTGTTGTACCCCTTTACAGCAAAGCCTCTTTAAAAAATTATCTCTGCCAGTGCAGCCTCCTGGCAATATAATACAAGCCCATGGGTAATTGTACATTTCCTGATGCTGCAATATTTTAAAGCAAAGTGTAGTTCAGTAGTAGAATACTTGTATAAAGTGCTGGGTCTAATTCCAGGGTTATGGGAAAGTGAAACTAGTTTTTAATAGATTTAATCATGTTAATGTAATAAACACTGAGATAATTGATTTTGGTATACAGAGGTTTGAATTAAAGTATATCTCAGTGTGAGGTAGCCACATTTCAAGGGTTTAACAGCCATGTGTATCTTGTGGCCGCCATGTTGGACCCTTTCCAGTTCTCTTCCCACAGTTTCTCCTAAACCTGCTTGAATCAGACTTTGGGCTCCACCACTCTACCCAATTTATTTTAGATGCTGTTATTCTTGCACCTCAGGGTTAGTTCTCAACTGACTTTGACACACCAACAAAATTGGACAAAATAGATAATTTCTTTTCTAACTCAGGGGACTTGGTGCCAAGCCACCACTCTACCTGCTCAGCTACATGCCACTTCTCTACCTTCTTGGAACTCCTCTGTTTTGGGATTTCTCTTGGTTGTTTGGGTTACTTCACCGCCCACCCCTTCTGTCTCCCACTACTTCCTGCCTTTTCTTCGGTGTAAGTGGAGCAGTAGGGGGCTCAGGCCATAGACTTTTGTACTCTTTTTGTACTTCTTTAGTGATGTAATAGCCCTTTGACTTTAAAGACCATCTAAACCTCCCTGAAGCCCAGGCTTACTCATGTGCTGCCTACTCATTGTGCTCACAAGCGTCTCACACTCAACATATCCAGGCTCAGACTCCTAATTCCACCTCCATTCCCAAAGCTGCTAAGGGGCAACTCTATCCTTCTAGTTCCTCAGCCAAAAACAAGTCACTATAGATTCCTTGCAGGTTCCTATACCTGATTGGCAAGTGACCTCTACCTAAGAATATATCCCAATTTAAGCCTTTCTCAGAGTGGTTTTAATACAGCAAAGATCATGTCCTTCTGTATAAACTCCACGATGGCTTTAATTTCACTCGGTGAGACCAACTCCTCACAGTTGGCCCTGTTAAAATACACAGGAGGCTATTGTTTTAGTCTGAGCTCCTATACTAGGCCACAATAAGCCAGACCAAACCAGAATGGATTCATTCAAGTGCCACATAAACTAAACGTTAAATTTTCTTATTTTCCATGACACAAGAGATTCACAACAACCAGCATAAGGTACCCAGTCTCCGTAAGCCTGACAAGGCTTGTCAGGCTTTCTTTTCAATCATATGTAACTGAGTTGGATGTGGTGGTGCATGGCTGTAATCACAGCATTGTGGATGCTGGGGCAGAGGTATTACAAGTCTGAACTAGTGATGTAGTTAATTGCAAAGACCTGGGTTCAATCCCTAATGGGAGTGGGAGAGAAAAAATAACTGGTCAGGTATAGTGTCACACACTTGTAATTTCAGCTACTTGGGAGCTGAAGGAGAAGGATCACAAATTTGAGGCCAGCCTTGGCAACTTAATCATGTCTCAAAAATGGCTGGCAATGTAGCTCATTTCTCTAGGGGTTTAATCTCCAGTACGGAAAAAAGAAAGTAACTCAGACACAACCAGTGTGCTTTCTGTTCCATTTTTGTTCTTCAACCTTTTTTCTATTATGCCTATGATGCTCAGCTCTGCTTAATTAGTGCTCTTGATCCATGAATTGCTAATAAAAGTCAGGTCTGTTTTTCTTTTTTTTCTTTGAGACAGTGTCTCACTGTGCAGTTCAGACTGACTTCAAACTTGCAGTGGTCCTCCTGCTTCAGCCTCCCAAGTGCTGGAATTACAGGCATGCACCACTATGCCTGACTTCTGATTAGATGTTTAAAACTCAGGTTTTGCAGGATCTGGGTTCTGCTCCTTCTGGGTCTCACATCCTTCCCCACTTTTGTCTTTGCTCTGCTCTGGTGAGCCAAGCTGACCTTGATATTCCTCCAGCCATGCTCTTGCCTTGGGGCTTTTGTGTTGGGTTTGTCTGGAAAGTTCTTCACCCAAATGTTCCCAAAGCCAGCTCCCCCTCTTTTCAGGTTCTCTCAGATGGTTTATCAGTACTGATGCCTACAAATGTAGTGTCACTCTCCCTTCTCCCACCACATCCAACTCTCCTCCTTGGCACCTGGCAGTCATCTGACAGTCTGGACTTGCATATTTTTATTATCTCTCCACGTAGGATGTAAAGTCTGTAAGTTCAGAATTTTGCTCACAATTGTCTTCCCAGTGCCTAGAACAGTGCTGTGATGGGTGCTCTATACATATGTATTGAATGAACAAATCATGTTACTTGTAAATGAGCAAGAGATGAGTAGGCATGAAGGATGGTTTGGCCTAGGTAAGTGCTAAGAGCATTGGCTAAGAGCCTGATTCTGGGTGAGTGCCCAGATTTGCATTTGAATTCTCTTACTTGCCAGCTGTGACCGGGCAATTTCTATCCTCCTTTCCTGGTGTATAATTATGTAAAACATACACAGGCTGATGATAAAATAAAATTGAAACACAGACCAGTATTGGGAAATTTTATTGTATATAAAAGGAAAAAGGTCAGAACTGAACTGGGTTTAACTGGATCGAGTTGTGTTTTGGGTAGCAGTGGTCCAACCTTAGCCTGGAATCTTCATCCTTGGGAATTCTTCCTGCAGAAAGAAACAGTAAGCTCAGTCCAGACAATGTGGAGGGTAGGTTAGGGCGGGACCCTGGAAAGAGGGTGGGGAGCGCTGTAGGGCAGGAGCTGGCCGTCTGGATAGCTATGCCTGCCAGCACAGTGGAGCCAAGTCGTAGCCCCTGCTCTGTCGGCAGCTCCTACTGACTCAGACTGCACTGGTCACTTTCTCCCAGCCAGACATTCACCACACCCTTGCATCCCTTTCTGTTGATCACAAATTGAAGAACTGACTGTATAGAACTTGGCTGAGTCCTGGTTGCCTCACGACATTATCAATTCTGTGACAGCAGGGGCCACTGTTGTCCTGTCCACTGCTGATTCCCAACCCAGAGCCTGGCATATCACAGTCATTGGAAGGCTTTTACAGGGTGGGAGGATGGCTGAACATGAACCTCAACTTCCTTCTGGGACTATGAGGAAGACAAGCTGTGAGATGCACCAAGTGTGTCTGTTGTTCCGCTCTACTGTTAAGGTCTGAGCTCTCTTATTTCTTGTTCTCAGCCCACTGGTGATACCCTGAATTTCCAGTTCTTGAGTTGGAGGGGACCCTGGGTGGAGCAGCCTCCAGGCCCCTTCCAGTGGGGTGTGTAAAGTCTGCAGAACAAAACCGCCTCCTTAGGGTTGGCTTTCTTGGGCCTGCCTGGGGCTGCCCAGTGCGAGCCATAGCAGGTGATTGAATACCTAATCCCAGCCTGAGAGGTGCAGCTGGGCATTCTGCTCAGAGGCACTGTAATATTTTCACTGTTCCATCCTTAGGGACCTTTGAGGTGATCAGAGCTAACCTGCTCCTGTTCCTCCTGTAGAGGAGGACATAAAGAAGCTGCCCATTGCTGTGGGTGAAATCTGTGGCAGAACCAGGCCCAGGCCTGCATCCTGCTTCCCACCTGGCTCTCACCCTTCAGTGGTTGCCTGCCTGTGGCCTCCTGCTGCTTGGACCACCATAGGCTGTTGCTGGGGAGATCTCTGGGCTCTCAGTGTCTGATTACATTTGAAAGAAGGTGAGGAAAAACATGGAGAACTCTGGGAACCAGATTTGTTTAATAGGTTGGTGCCCAGCACATCCACGGTGGGATAGCCTTGTGCTCAAAGGAAAATCAGGTTCCAAGACTGGGGACACAGATAGGGATAGAGCACTTTAGGCCTGCCATGCACAGATCAGGGATAGAGCACTTAGGCCCTGGTTTTGATCCCCAGCACTACACACACTCAAAACTCTAAAACCATAGCAATTTTCTCTAATTACCATAACACTGTGCCATCCTTGGAAATGGCTAAGAAGTGCAACGTTGCATGTCCCTTACTTGGTCTCAACTGCAGCCCTTGATTTGTCTCGCTTGCTTCCATAAAGCGGGGGAAACTCATTCCTAATCTTCCTCATTCCCAGTGGAAATTTAGGGCTGTGGAGAGACACACTTCATGACCATCTCTTCCACTGGTGACAGTGTGCCTGGTTTGTCACAGGATAGGAAGACCAGCTTGTCTTTGGCTTTATCATATTGTGAATATGGTGGGTGATCTAGAGCATACTTCTCAGATCACGTACGTCAGAATCCTCTGGGACAATTACTGAAATTTAGGTTTCTTCAACCTATCCCAGAACCACTCAGCGAGTAGCATTTCCGGCCCCAGACTTATGACTCCACACTGGACAGGCAGCAGAGAATACCATGCAGTGTCAACACACATTTCCTCCCCTTCCCCTAGTTCCTGTGTGGAAGAAGGTACCTTGTTATTGGTTCATTTGGTAGAGCCCCACACCTTTGGAGGAGAGGGGATCCTTTCCTTTACCAAGACACCTACGAGAAGAGAAGCCTTTGATGTCCCTAGACACACACACACACACGCATACACACACATGCACACGCACTCACGTGCGTGTACACACACACACGCGCACTCATATTCCTACCTGTGCTTCTGCAGCAGGGCCACCAGCATGCTCTCCAGTGCCACCTGCTTTTGGTCTGTCCACATGCTGTCTCCCTGACGGCCAAGCCGCATTCTGGCTTCTTGCTCCTGGTTCCCCTCTCTATACAGGTAGGAAAAAAGAAACAGTTTAAGTTTCTACTGAATAGGCTGTGGATGAGCAGGGGAACATTTCTATCTCTATTCTAGTATTTGATAGAGTTTTCTACATAATCGAATTAGATGCAGCATATATCACAGTGAAGAGGACAGAACACAAATGTGCACAGTTAGGTACAGAAGTACCTAAGGGGAAGGGTCACAGTGACTGCAATTTATATTCAAGTGTTTCCCAAATTATAAATAAGGAGCAAGGGGCTGGGAATTTAGCTCAGCAGCATAAGCCCCTGTCTTGCAAGCAGGTGGTCATGTGTTTGATCCTCAGTACCAATTTAAAAAAAAAAAGGAGCAAAGAAAAACTCTCCTCATTGATTATTAATTAATCTGGTAGACACCAGGTTAATCAAGAAGTTAAATTCACCAATAAAGGACAAATCAAGAATCCACCAATAATGGGGCAGATTGCCCTGAGGACACATCACTCCATCTGTGAGCGCATAACTGGATCTACTATGAGGGTGCTGCCAGCATCTTCACTGTGAGCGACAGTCTGTAAAGCACTGGCCTTTAGTAGTAAGAAAATTCAATCCCACGGAACACTGAGGAACTATTCCAGATGAAAAGAACTAGAAAGATACAGCTAAATGGGAACCAAGATCCTGGATTACAAAAAGAAATGTTATATCAGATTTTGGGACAACTGATGAAATCTGAATGTGGATTATAAAATGATTATACTGGGATTATTAAGGGAATGCCCTTCATAGGCTCTAGGAGACACATGCAGAATACCTAAGGGGAAGGTCATGGTAACTGCAATTAATATGCAAATGTTTCCCAAATTATAAATAAGGAGCAAAATAAAAGCGAGATAATAGGAAGTAAGGAGATAGCTCTTCTCAAATGGGAAGGGAATTGAGATGGAGGGAGGTGAGAGGGAGTGGGAGGAAAGGGGGTGGGAACCGGAATTTAGAAATGTTATGTACATGTACCAACTCCACACAAGAAAAGTAAACACTGCATACTGAAAACATGTACCAGTAAAAACTAGTAATTAACCTTTTATTTTTTCCTCATACCACGGATTGAACTCATGATCTCACAGTTGCCAGGCAGGCACTTATGCCACTGAGCTAAATACCCGGGCCCAGTAACTGACAAACCGGGCATGGCAGTGTATACTTGTAATGCCAGCACTCTGGGAAGATCACCAGATTGAGCCTCACTGGGACAACTTAGTGAGATCCTAACTCAGAATGAAACAAATTTGAGGAGGACTGTAGTCCAGTGTGAAGACTGGGTGCTCAGCACCTTGAAATTTTTTCTAAATAAAAACTAAAAAATGTACAAGCTGTGGAATCAGGTTGTTTGGGTCCTAGCTCTGCCACTCAGCATTAACAAATCTGTACAATGGGATAAGAATTCCTATTTTGTTGGGTTGTTTCAAAAATCGGAGAAGAAACTAAGAATAGTGGCTCGCACTACAAAGGGCTTCCTATGTCCCCAGCACTGTGCTGAATGCATGCACACAGCCCCGCACAGAGTGTGTGTCTGGCACAGAGTCATGATGAGATAGTGATGACCATCAGCACTGTTACTGCCCGAGTCTGGCCAAGGGAGAAGCACACAGTAGTGTGGAAGGAAGCAGAGGTCTGACATTGGTGCCCTTCTGTTGTACAAAGTTCAGAAATGACAGGCACTCCATATGAGAAGAGACCAAGCTTGGTCCCTGGCCTGCATCAGCCTCCCAAACTCTGAAGCACAGGGGGCAGAAGAAAAATCCCTGATATTTTTGCTCACTCCTGCGGCCGGTTTGCGATGTCCTGGACCACTTTGCGGGCGAACAGTTGGCCCAACACCCTCCGGTAGCTGTTGGTGAAGATGGCATCTGCGTACCGCTGCATCCTGCCAAGGAGTTGGGGAAGGCAGGTGAGAGGACAGGGAGGGCTGCACTCACCCTGTCTCTGCAAGCTTCTTCAGCAGCCCAGTGTCCCATTCACCCCAGAGCTCAGAGCTCACTGAACGGCCTCTCTGGAACTCAGTATCTGGTCCCTTCCCCAAGATGAGCAATGGGCATTATTTGAAGAAATAGCAGAGGGCCATTCTTCATCTTCCTCTACAGCTTTACCCTTCCATCAGGAATGGTTCAGGGGCTGCTTACCTGAGGGGCAGAGAGAGGGGCGGGGAACAGTGGGAGCTGCTGCTGAGGGTGACCGTCACGAAGAAGAGGAATACCCAGAGTGGCATCCTTCACCACCTACAGAAGGACAGGAGGGGATGGTCAGGCTGCCACAGCCACGGGGATGCCATTCACCTGCTGAGCTTAGTCCTGGGCTCAGTCCACCGCAAGCCTTGATCTTTGTCCTTTGGAAACTGTCAGGTAGGCAAAAGAGTCTACACTAGAAGTCAGACATCTCCAGATTCAAATTTCTACCTCTGCCAGTCACTAGCTCTGACACCTTCATCTATAAAATAGACGTGATAGCGTTGCCCAGGCCACTTCAGCGAGTGAAACAGAGAAACCAATGATTGTAGGGAAACTGTCTCATGATGCGAAAGCACAAGAGGCAGAACTCATTCTCGGTGCAGGATGGGAGAGAAAAAGCACCTTCCCTTAGGGTCCCCGAGTCGCCCCATGCAGCATGGCACTGAGAGCAGTAAAGTCTCAGCTCTCAGTCAGATAAGTTGAGGTGCAATTCCCGGCTCTGCTGTCACTAGCTATGTATCCATCTAGGCTGAAGTTCTTCCAATCACAAAATGCAGAAGGTAACCATCTCCTGCATTAGGACCTTGTGAGGATCAGGTGAGTGTGGCACCTTGGTGAGTAGCTTGGCACATAGGGAACTTTCTAGGATCCTTCACTGTGGTCACCTGCTATTGACCATCTTGGAGGATAGACTTATCCTGTTTTGTTTTAGGTAGATCTGGAGAGAAGGGAGAAAGACTATAAGTCTTGCTCCAGATGTTGAATTCACTAAGGAGATGTAGCCCTGGAAGGGATCAGAGAGCCAGACTCTTCTCATAGATCACGTAATTACCCTTAGTTGGAGCCTGTTGACACAATGCTCTGTGGTCAGAGGAAGGAAAGGTAGCAGGGGAAAGAGTCACCACGGCCGAGGAGGGGCACGCTACGAGCACAGACCAACCTGGGATGGGTGCTGACCTGGGAAGGGCAACCGTGTCTTCTGTCTTCTCATGTCCAGGTAACCTCTCTCTTGGCAGGGTATGTGCTCCACGGGCATGTAGACCATTCCCAAGGCCCAGTGAGGCCCAGAGAGGGCAATGCCCCCCTTTCTTGTCATCGTCTCCCATGGTTTCATTTTCTCCTTCTGTCCAGTCTTGCTGGGAAGTGATCTCTGGGCAGGGCCAGCCTTGGAGGAAAGCACCTTGCTTTTCTGGGCTCATTGTCCTTGAGGACAACATCGCCTATTCACAGACTCTCGTCTCCAGCAACCCAAGGATGTCTTGAGAGATCTTTGTACCTCCAGAGCTGCCCAGAGATCAGTGGTCAGCCCTCCTTGATATTCACCACCACCTTAGCATTTGCTCCCTGCTGCCATTGAGGGACAGGGAGCTCACTGCCTCCAAGCTGTCGTGTCTTATTTCTAGGTAGGGGTTTTGTTTTTTTGTTTTGAGGTGGTGGGGATGCAACTCAGGGCCGAGTGTGTGCTGGCAAGTGATCTACCACTGAGCTTCACCCCCAGCTTTCTAGGCTGTTTTTCCCCAGTGTGTCAAATGCAAATCTCCTTATGCTACAAATGTAATCATGTGCTGAATAACAATGTTTCAGTAACCACTGGCCACATATATAACAGTGACTGCCCAGGATTTTGTAGCCTGGTGACATTGCAGCTGTTTTAGTGTGCACTTGCACACACTATCATGAAATGGCTTCAAGGTGCACTTATCAGAACACAACCCTGTCTGAGTGATGCATGACTGTGTTTGTTAAGTCTCCACTATTCTGGTAAGGACTGTGGCCAGAGAAAAGAGGAGCCCTGTACATGTACTCAGGGCTGCCTCTTATATCCACCTGAGAGCTTCTGTACCTGCACTTGCACCCTTTTAGAGATTTTTTTGGAGGCAGGGTCTCACGTGTAATGCAGGTTGTCTTTGAATTCACTATGTAGTCCATGCTGGCCTCAAACTCATGACGATGCCTCTGTCTCAGCCTCCTGGCTGCCGAGATTATAGTATGCTCCATGACACTTGGCCTTTTGGAGATGTTTGACACCTCACTTTGGCCTTTACTGCTCAGGCTAAGGACCTGCAGTTTTCTGTTCTCCTCATACTTATCACATGTGGCTGCCTCTTCTCATCCAGGGGATCTCTCCAGAAGTGGAATTTTCTAAGCAGGGAGATTCTTATGACACAAGAAGGGTCTCTTTTCCCAGAGGCAGCCTGTTTCTTTCTGTCTCTGTCTCTGCTGTCTTCTGTATACTAGGGAATGAATGTCTAGTCCAGGCTGGCCTCATTCATGAAGATCCTTCTGCCTCAGCCTCCAAGTGCTGGGATTACAGTTGTGCACTACCCTGCCTGGCTCAGCCTGGTTCTCTGCCCTTCTTTGCTGCTCATCTTTAAAGACATGGGCTTACCCAGGGCTTATCCCCAGTTACCTCACTGTGCTCCGGGAGCCCTTGGTTCTCACCTCATCTAGAGTGAAGCCCAGACTTCTAGACAGGGCTCCCCTTCGGCCTCACTCCCTAGGGCAGTGATTCCCAGTCCCTGTGCCCTCCTGTCTTGCACGCTCACTCTCCAGAGCATGCATCTCCATCCTCACAACAGAGGAAAAAGGCCTTTTCCATGATCATCCATCAGTTAGCTTCAGAGTGGGCACTTCAGGGCAGGCCCATGGCCAGGCCCACAGTCTTCCTGCTGCTCCCTGAGGTGGGCCTGAGATACAATACCCCATTCACAGCGCTCCCTGTTTATGGGTGCGTCAGAATTCACCACCTGCGTGTGGCAGCAAAGGGCAAAGTGAGGTGTAAAACATCTCTGAAAAGGTTCTGAAAAATTGAAGAGCTTTTGCTTTTTGTCATTGGGTCCCTGAGGAAGTAAAAAAGGGAACAAACAGGACACCCGCTTCATTGGCACCTCTCTCTGCACTCCTGGTGGTTTTGACAAGTTGAAAATGACCTCATCAACGGGCAGATACTGGGGGGCCAATTCATAGTAAGCACAATAGTATCCCACTTGTTCAAAATGAGGCTGATAGCCACACAATCTGATCAAGCAAGAGGCACAACATTTGCTATAAAGCGTGTCTCTGGGGTGGGTCCAGACGCTGCAACACCTCTGGACTATGCAAAGCTGATCCATGGTGTCACCATATTCCCCTGGACCAAGGGGAGAACCAGGAAAATTATCCAGCCTATGACGAGGAAAGAGCAGAAGGTATGTCACCAAGAACAAAAGAGTTATCCACAGACACACAGATAAGACCCTCCAAGGAGGGAGAAGTCACTGAGTGAAGTCTACCTAAACCTGCCGGCCTCACTGGCAGCCCCGGATGACTTCAAACGCATTTGAATTCTGTCACCCAAAGTACCAGCCAGCTTTCTGCATGTCTAATGCTGTGATTAGATAGATTGGAGGTCTCTGGATTCAGCATCAAGGGGCACTTGCTGCTCATCAGTTGGCACCTTCTGCCAGCTTTCATGCCATGAATGCCATGAGAATTCTGCAGATATTCACTGTTAGCTAATGATAAAGATCAGATCTCAAGTCCCTGAATTAACAAGGCCACTTTTGAAAACCTGGGGAGCGGGGAATCTTTTACCTTTCTGAAATATTCTGCTTTGGAATTGAGAATCCCAAAGCACTGGCATCTGGTTTGGTGTATAATCCATCTTGCCAGTAGTGTTCCAAGTCAAAGTAAGTCCGTTTTTGTGATGCTAGAGATGGAGCCCAGAGCTTTCTACATGCTAGGCAATATCCCCAGCACCCAAATCTAAATAGTTTTTTTGGGGTGAGTACTGGGGATCGAGCTTAGGACCTTGCACTTGCCAAGCTGGCACTTGTGCCCCTGAGTTAAACCCCCAGGCCCCAAATCTAAATGTTTAATGAGGAAGCATCTTGAACTGTCCTTCAAAAGGATGACATCCACCTCCTTCCAGAAAGACTTTGAATCAGCTTATGGTAAAACAAAAACAAACACTAAAGGACCATTCAAGGCAGGATGAAGGGACAGGTGTGGAGTAATGGAAGGCTCCCGAGGCAGATGAGATTGAGTGTAAAATTAGAGTGGCTGCAGCTGAGCAAGAAATCAAAATATTATCAATTTCCAGGCAATTATGTTAAATTAGTCCTGTCTGAGCAGTCAATGAGACCTATTGATTCGCACAGCCTCTTGGCTCTCCAATCCACGGCAGAGTAACCACAGTGGATGATAGGATCCAGCCAGCTCCTGTCTTGGCCCAGAAACCTGTCCTATACCCTGGAAAGAGCCCCCAAATCTCTTTCACTTCCCACAGACCCCTGCAACACGTTTGCCTGCCACTTCTTCCCAAAGTCAAGATGCCATTACCCAAGACAATCCATAAATGGTACCAGCCATTGAGAGCGGGCTACAGAGTCCCTGGCAAGGGATTATTTCCCCTGCCTGGAGTCCAAATGTCCTCATAGTCCGTGGACATAGGGGACAATGATGGGCTCTTTGCCTCAGGGTCTCTTAGCTGGTGAGGATGTCAGCTTTGCTTGCCCCCATCTGGCCCACCCCCTGCCACCCCCTCTCACCTCCGATGTGGCAGGTCTGTGTCTGCTGAGGTGCTGCTCTGGTTCCCCGGACCTCAGGCTGGCCGTTCTCTCCGGCGGCTCTGCGGCACTCCTGTCATTTATACCTTCATTTTCCTAAGTGTTGTCAGCGTCAGAGACTCAATTACCCCTCAGTCAGCCAAAGCACCATTTTTAGCATCACACTGACAGACCCTAATAAGAGAAAGAGGTTTTACTCCCTGCAAATTAAGACTCACATTGAACTTTTCCTTTTATCTTTGAAGGGATGAACAGAATATAAAATATATGATTCTAAGAGAAAGAGTCTAATGCTGCTACTGTATATGTGCTGCCCAAGCCACTACAATAATACTGCTACTGTAATAATTGGAGAGTTTGTAACAGTGAAGTTGTTTGTTCTCCAAGGTGCCTCTTAAAAAGTGCTTTTAAAAAGTGCATGTAAGGGGCTGGAGATTTAGCTCAGTGGCATAAGCACCTGCCTTGCAAGCAGGCGGTCGTGAGTTTGATCCTCGGTACCGATAAAAAAGAAAAAGACAAAAAAAAAAAAAGTGCATGTAGCTTTATTCACTTCTAGACAACATTATCAGTAACTTTTTCTCCCCTTACTGAGGAAAACTGTGGCTCCCCGTCTTGTTGTCCAGTTATCAGAATTCTCCTCTGCTTGATTTATATTTATAGCTGCTACTGTCCTCCATGGATTGGACAGCTCACCAGGAAGCAGCCACCCTCGAGTGTTAAGGTAGCTGAACCTTACAGTTGCCCCAGAAAAGCTTGAAGTGAACAGAACATCTTGAGAGAGTTGTTTCTAGACTTTTTCTAGCCAGTAGCTAAGGCATCGTCAAAAGTGACATAAACGTGTGTGAGTCCCTCGCGGTTCCTGTGGAAGTGTAGAAAGAGCTCCAGGCCCGAGTCCAGAGACCGCCACTCTCCAGGGCCTGCCAGTCATGTCCTCTGTGACCTTGGGCAAGTTACTTCTGGAACACAAAAGGGATGTGTGGGAATTGACACAGTAAAGCAACTTTCAAACTTAAAACCTTTCCCTTCTTTAGAAATGTTCTCCATAACCACAGTACACACACAGATTCTTTAAATGGGGGTATTTTAAAATGATGGTGCGAGCCTGCAGTCCCAGCTGCCCAGGAGCCTGCGGCAGGAGGGTCACTGGAGTCCAAGAGTTTGTGGTCAGCCTATACAATATAGCAAGAGTGTATCTTAAAAAGAAAAATGATCTGGGGAGCGTGGCTCAGGTTGAAGAGGGGAAAGTGGAGACCCTGTTTAACAGCCCCTGAGATACTTCTGTGGGTCACAGTGAGAAACCAACAGTCTCTGAGATTCTTCCTAGCAATATCTTGTGACCTTGCTTCTTAGCCTGCACTGATCCATGCGCACAGAGCAAATGTGGGACGTTTCCCACAGAAGTAAGGACCCTGACCTGGCCATTGATTAAATGTAGGGTGACGGCATTAAGAGGAATATTATTTAAAAAAATGGGCTGATGGGTCCAGCAGCACGCAGATGGAGCAGTTCAGTGCTCCGGGGCAGTGGGCGATTGCATGG